CTCCCCCTTTGGCTCTGTCCTCCTCTCTATCTCCCCCCCCCACCACCCCTCAACCCCTGATTTTCTCACTGTCGGCTCTGATCTCTAATCATAAATGAACTGTAGATCAAGAGCAGGGACAGTGGTCCACACCCCCGTCCCCTTGGCTAGGTTCATGTAATCACAGGGCTCTTGGCAAGTAAGAGGCCAACAAGCCTTTGAATGCGAAATGACTGTACCTCTAATGCATCAGCCATCTCAACTCTGAAGAGCCATTTTTCTGGCAAAAGGGGGGGATATATCGCAGGTAGGAAATCAGGTCACCAGCACCACCACCATCATCATCATCTTTACAATCATTATCTCCTTTCTCATCCAGCAGCGTAATTGAAAGCGGGACCTTTTATACAATTATTTTCATTTGCTGTACGTCACCCACAAAAGGGAGTAGTGATTCCTGGCCTGTTGTGCACTTTGACTCACCCCACCCTCCTAAAATACTCTTAGCAAACACACACACACACACATAGATGGAAAACCTAGGAGGTGCAATATGCATTGTGGAGAGACACAGGTCAGCCATTCTGGCACAGGCCTACCTGTCAAGTGCTGCTACTTGTGCCGAGCTCTGCTAATGGACCGCTAATAGAAGTGAATGTTGCACTGTGAAGCTCCCCTGTAGTTGAGAGTGTCACACAGGGTGATTAATGACACACTCTCCTCTCCTCCCATGTCCGTCCCTGTCCTCGCTTCATATCTCGCTTTCACCCTTCTCCCTCTCTCCCTCTCTCTCTCTTCACTTCTGCCTCCAGTCCCCTTTTCCTCTTCACTCCTCACCTCTAATCTGTCGGTGCCTTTTTTTTTCTTTTTTTTTAACGTCCTTGCGAACTCCTTCATCTCACCACTTCTCTTTCGTCTGCCTCTCCGGAAAAGAATCTGAAGTCATTATTAAACTCCCCCCTACGAGTCAAGTTTAATTGCAATGCAAAAGTCTAGTTTAACAAACAAAAAAAAGGCACGGAAACATCCCAGTATAAAGCTTAAAAGGAGGGGAAAAAAAGTTTAGGTGTACTTCACTGGAGGAGTCATCACTCCAACAGGCTGGTCAGTGAGCAAATAAGCAATAAAACCTCTTGGGAAAACCAACTTTTATAGAGCAACACTGACGGGTCGTGTTCCCTGAATTGTTGTTTGGAGATTTTAACAATCTGATGAGTAATTTACATTCTGTTTTTTATATACAAAGTAAACATGATGTGCTTTGTGGGCATACTTTATCCAATGGAACACAAGGATTTCTCCACCAGGTTTACATGGTAAAGGTTCAGAAACAGGAAAATGAAAGACAATATGATTTACAGATGAAGTCAAATCTTTTTTATATATATAGATATATTTTTTGGGCCTTTTGCCTTTATTTTAGAGCAGTAGAGATAGACAGGAAAGGGGGTGAAGAATGGGGAGAGACCTGCAGCAAAGGGTTGTGAGCAGGAGTCGAACCCACGACCACTGCATCGGGGAACTATAGCCCCTGTTCATGGGTCGCCCGCTCAACTAGGTGAGCTATAGGGGCGCCCTGAAGTCAAATTCTTTAATTATAATATAATTGGGCCGTCGCTGTAGCTCAACTGGTTGAACTGGTGCCCCATGTACAGGGGCTATAGCCCCCAATGCAGTGGCCATGGGTTCGAATCCCGCTCATGGCCCTTTGCTGTAAGTCCTTCCACCGTTCTGCTCCCCTACTTTCCTGTCTCTCTCTTCACTGCCCTGTACAATAAAGGCCAAAAAAATAACTTTAAAAAACTAAAATAAAATTAGAATCTTCTTTCTGGTGGCCAGTCCAATGTTTCTGACAATCTGGACTCGTGACCCAACCATATTAAAAACCCTCACTACCGTTTACAGTCACAGTATTTGCCTCCATCAGCACAGCAGATATCCTCATCCACCAGATGAGTACAGAACTGTTCCCAGCCTCCCCCCCAAAAATAGCTACCGCGTATATTTTTTGCTTTCATAACAATAGTATATGACATCAAGTGGAGCAGGGAAGCAAACTCAGCAGCCACTTTTCACAGTAATTATCACTCGCTACCACGCTCCGTCTGTGGCTCAGCTAGCAACCAGCGTGCAGCTCTGACCCCGCTCAGCCAAACTGTGTACACGCTTTTTTTTCCCCCCTTTTACTTTGCCCTCTTCCTTCACCTATCACAACTCAATCTTAATTTCCTTCAGCTGCACAAAATCGTTTGGCTTTAAATGTGTCAGTTCACAAACGCCGGCTAAAGGCCATCATAGGAGGTAATTTAGAAGCACTGCTCCTTACGCACAATGCGCTCATTGTGGGCCTGTTTATATAATGACCGCGATGGTTGTAATGTTAGCAGGCCCGAGGGAAGCCTGGTAGAAAAATAATGATAAAAAAAAATAATACACATTCTTTCAGCAGCACACACACATCAGTCTGAGTGTCGGAAAAATGGCAAAAGTCCTACTGTGCCACTGAGTCACGATACTTTAGAATCCATATGCATTAAATATCCTTTAACTTTTCCCTCCATAAACAGCCCTCGGAGGGCACATCATCATCAGAGAGTGGAGAGGCAGCAGAGACAGGAACATGAGGGGAAGGAGAGAGCAGCACTGTGGAAAAAGTGAACCAACCCCAGGAAGGCCAGCACCCATGTCCACCGCCGAGCACAGAGACGCACTATATAAATGCCAGTGTTAAGGTCAAACGAAATGAAATCGAGAGCGAAAAACACCTTTAAATGCAGTTTTCTACCTCTTAGCACACTTTAAACTCCGTGTCTCAGTTTGCTGAGCTCCTCCTTCAACCAAACTGTGGCTTCACTGATGAGTCCCGTCTCATGAATCCTAATATTTCAGATCCGCTCATTGGAACTAAAAACACGTGCGTATCCTTTTTTTTTTATTGAATTAAGCATTCCATATGTTCCCACAACAACATCCTCCATCGACTTTTAAAAGGCAGACGAGGACGTCTCCGCCGCTGCCCTGGAAATAGTGGAAGTGCATCTGTTCTTGCACCGAGGGTTTCCAATCAAGCTACTGTCACCGAGCTCTCAGCTACCTTTTCTGGCAGCTCCCTCGCTTATATCTGTCTCAACCTGTCTCCTTTGTCAAGAGTTCAGCACGTTAATGAGCACTCTCATTTTCCCAGTGCTCACAGGGAATGAGAGAGTCCTCTCAGAGTCAAGAAAAATAAAATAAAATAAAACAAACCAGATGAAACGCGATCGCAACTATAGAAAAAATATGTTCAAATGACTGCAAAAACAAAATGTGCCGGGTTGGAAGGGGGGCTGGCGTGAGGAGCGCTGCCTGGGTAAAGCGAGCCACTTTAATCACCAGTAGTTTTACACTGAAGAAGTGACTCTCCAGCGATTTGGAAATGTGTAGAGCTCATCAGTGCCCCAAAATAGCGAGGCCCATTAATTAGGCTCAAACAATGTTCTCCTGCTGTATCGACTTCTTAATGGACAGAGAGGAACCTTGTTCGTATTCCCCATCTCGTCAATGACACAGAGCTCTCTGGGGTTTTGGAAGGGGTATTATGTCATCTCACCCTGCCCTTCAGAAACTGGACCTGTGCTGTTTTTTTTTTTTTTTTTCACTCTTCCTCTCCCTCTTTTGCTCATTAACTATGTAGGAGTGAGATGAAGGTCTGGAGCTGCTAGATAAGGTTGCTCACAGACCTTCTTCCCTGTCTGGGATGTGTGCTTAGACCTGGAAGCTTGTGTTGCTCACATTCAAAAGACATGTAGTGGTTCACGACGTTGCTGTAGTTTTTAAAAAATGCGGCCCAGAAATCTGCTCATTCTCCCTTCATCTCATCGTGTCATTCCAGAAAGACAAGACAGACCACCTACCTTAATTGCAGATGCACAAACACACATCGGTTCCCCTCAGCTCCCTTTGTTTGACTGACAATCTCACTCAGGAGAGCGCAGATTAAGTAAATGGCTTCAGGTGCTTCGGCATTATCTCAACGGTTTGTGGAGCTGACAGCTACTAGGGTTTACGTCTCTCAACGGGGAAGCTTCAGGAAGAAAAAGGCTGAAGTTTAAAACGTGCCTGAGCTTTTGTACGGCGGGATAATTACTACTCATCAGTCAGAGGTGTTCTATTGGAAATGAAAATTGCCTCCAAAACTTAGCCACTGAGTATTGAAGAAACACTGATTATACCCGTCCTCTGAAAATCAAGACTGTTTAATCAATTACTAGCTAGACTGGGCTTTATGATTCATCAATATTGGAGATTTCACTTTAGAATTAAACTATTTATAGATGTGCCAAATCACCAAGAATGAATGGCGGTGAATCGATGAAGGTGCAGCTTTCTTTGCTTCATTAACAGAAACCTCAATTACAATTTAAATCACATTTCTTTTTAAATCTACAGCAAATAATCTATATTATATTGTCCTATGATTCAAAAGAATTTCCTCAATATTTTGCACATCCACTAGCATGTTTAAATGTGCAAACTGTTCAGTGCACTATATCTTTTTAAAGGTTGGGGGAGATGTAACAGAGCAGCCACAATATGGGCTCATTTATCTCCAAAGCTCTGGAGCAGTCATTCTTTATTCCTTTCCTGTGATGACTGTTTCCAAATGTCCTATGAAATCAGGAATTTCCAATCCCTGAAATGAAACAGCAATTATTTAATCTTTTTTTTTTTTTTCCAGAGAAGGCTTCATTAGATTTTTTTTTTGTAAACCACTTCTTTCAGAAGGCCTCCTGCTCTGATTCAGGCTACAAGCTTCTATTTGCGCCTTTATCTCTAAATACAGCTCCAATGCCAAAAGGTGGGTGAACTGTATCTCTTCTTTTTTAAAGTGTGACTGAAAAGAATTCAGGTTTTTTTTTTCTTCTCCGCTATACACCCCCGCTGAGGCTTACAAGACTTTACAAAAACTTTTACTGAGAGAGAGAGAAAAGAAAGAAAAAAAAGGCGAGTTCACGGGTCAAGAATACACTTTAAAGTTTTACCTTGAGCCGCTCCGATATCCAGCAGGAGGAAAAGCAAAAGCCAGGACACGGTGGGCATCTCAGGGGAGAATCTCGGCGCTCTTCCTCCCTCTCTGTCAGTTTGTGCACCGAAGCCCATGATGAGGAGTCAAAACTACGCTCTGAGGCAAGTCCGAGTCACTGAGAAATTGCTCAAATCAAACGCGCACTGTGGTCCCTCGCCGTGGCGCGCCGCGGTCCAAAATATCACCCTTCACAGCCCCCGGTGCGCAAAATCACGCGTTTGCACGAAATATATCCAGCGCACTGTTCTTCTTCCTTTTACAAACATGTGATAGTTTGCGGAATGAAAGGTGGGTGCATCGCCCTCCGTCAGGGGAGGATGTTGCATTTAAAACCTGCCTCCGGTCGCTTTTCTCTTTAAAGGTTCACTTGGTTCGTCTAGAGGTGTGGATCGATGTCTTGATGGCAAATTCATGCTCCCCGCACAAAACCAGAAGTCCTCCAGCTGTGTCCGTCTCCGTCCAGCCTTTTCCACGCGTGCAGCAGAGAGAGAGAGTGTGTGTGCGTGTGCGTCCACCGCGCCTTGCGCTCCACTGACGGGACTGAGCCGAGGGAAGGAGCCGTCTCTGCGGGCCACCTTGCTCCTTCAGCCAATCCAAGTGCTCCGGCAAGTGGCGGCGCTGTATCAAAACCTGGCCCGGACAGCAGCGAGGAATGGATGGCGTCTACCGGCTGGAGGACGAATGCAAGTCTGGGATTCAGTGTACATGGCAGTTATTGACGTCAATGATGCCTTTAAAGTAGCTTTAATGTCCAGTGTGGCGCAAAAGTAGAGAAACGTAACCTCGCTGTTTTCGGTGGTGCAGCAGCCTGTGAAGCCTGAGCAAGAACTGAGTGTATGATGGTGGAAGAAATAGTCAGATTTCAGTGAATGAACAGCAGGACTCTGAGAGATAAAGGTGCTAAATGGAACCACACATGGGTTTCACAGGAGTGTCATAGAGGAATGGGTTTGAAGTTCTTTAAAGAACCCACGAAGGTGCCTCAAAGCTGTTGGTGTTCTTTTAACAGCCTACATGGTGGTCCACCTTTAACAAAAATGATCTTTTTCTGACCCATTAAGGAAGAAGTTTGTGTTTGAAAATAGGGCTTCATGATTGTTTAAGTAATTTTTAAGCAAAAAAGAAAAAAAAAGTCAAGTGTAAAAAATTACAGCATTTCTGGGTTTCTTTCATTATAAGACATTTAATATTTTGGACTGTTGGTCAGACAAGATGCCAAGTTGCAATTTGAGAATTGTGATCTGCATTTCTTGCTGTTTTCTGATGTTTAAAAGACCGATTGATTAATCAGTTAGCTATGAAAATAGCAGATTAATCCATAATGAAAAGTTTTCTTAAGAACTGTTTGACAGCCATTATTTTTCTGAGAGTACTATGAAAAATATTCCAATAGAAGTAAAAGTCTTTCGTCCAAAACCACACTTACACTGTAAAAAGTGTATGTGAGCTGTACGTAAATAAAGTACTGTTTCAAATAAGTCTCAACTATTTTTCTACCTTTTGGATTCTATCGACTCATAATAACACTCTGTCCCTTTAAACCGATATTCTAATTTCTTTAAAACTGCAAAAATTAGGTTTACTGTTCCTTTAGCATTGTGTGCATGACATAAAAGTGTCTTCACGTTTTTATGGTGCAAATCTGCTGCTGTTTTATTCTAGTAGGATTACAGAATGAAAACAAGTCTGATGACAAAATCATGTTTTAATTTCCATTTGGGTAAAGCGAATGGTTAAATTGGAAAAATTGGAAAGTTCAAGTTGACTTTCCTTAAAATAAAGCTGCAGCAATGCAAACTGTTCATTTGTGAGGAATCAAATAATACATCAACCTCAATCCAGTGACATTCATTTTCTTTGTTAACCTAATTCAGATCAACTTAATTTCATTGTGTGTTATCAATTTCAGCAATTTATTTAAATTGGTCCAACAATTCTCTCAAAGCACAAACGAATCTACATGTAGTGATTTATTAAAAGTAAAAATAGTGGGTCACTGATCAGGATTTTTGGGATATAAACCATCAGAGAAGTTCTAAAGCAGCTCAGGGGGTTACTCAAACAACTCCGAGGCATCTGAAACATGAGACCTAACCCCAAACAGACACTGCTTTTGTGTCAAAAGTCAGAGAAACCAGTATCTAAACCACAGTATTTCCCTTTCAAATGCGGCGCAGTTGAAGCATATAAAGTAGCAGAAACTGGAAATACAGTTAAAGCCGCGGTAGTGTAAGAACTGTGTGTTATATTCCACCCCAGAGTCCTGCAAACAGGTGCTTCCGTTTTCTAGTCACTCCATGTATTGAGGACATAAATCGTCATTAATTTAGCACAGGCACTGCAACAGGAAGGCATAATTTATCTGACTGGGGCCCTGCACTTGCCCTTGTTCTGGCCACTCTAATTGTTATTTAGAAGTTGTAATAGCATGTCACAAAACCTGATCAATAATAAGCTCGGCCTAACAGACACACCTTTGAGCACACATGCACACAGACAAAGATAGGAATACACACAACTTTGGCTTTGCAGGGGGAAATTTGTTCCAGTGATTCTGATAGAAGACTGATGAGTAATTACATATGCATGACAGATGTCTCGGCAATGCCCCCGACACCTTGTGATTAATATGAAATATGAACTTGACACTATCTCTGCACCAAAATGAAACTTTTAAAATATGAATCTAATTTAGGAAGCTTTCTCCTGCCCTCCATCTCCATTTTTAATGTATGGTGATGTCAATAGGCAGCTGGCATTTCAGTGTCAGGTAGGAAATTGCTTTTATTCTTGACTCAAACTAAGATGGGAATGATAGTTGTGGTTTCCAAATATATCATACAACATAGTTCACACAAAATGCACAGTACGTGTTTGATGCCGTATGAGTGTGTTGTGACCCTCCAAGAATCACCGCCCTGACGTGGTATGGAGATTTGTGTGCCCCTGTGATCCTAGAAGCTGTGTGCTTGGAGGCAACAGCTCCTGATAGTGTCTCAAAAGGTATATTGGTCCCACAGGAAGGGCCAGAGGGGAATCCAATTCAAAAAGCCGTAATGGAACACAATTTTCTGAGCTGCATCACCTAGAGTGGGTTGAGGAGACGAGGGTGTCAAGTAGAAGTGGAGTGGAGTTGTGCTGTCACCTCCAAATGATGGTGAGATGGATCGGATGGCATGGGTACTGCCTGGCAGACCAGACAAACCCAATCATACAGCTAGGGTGAACCGGGAGAATCAGGCTGAGGTCCATGTCTGTGATGTCTTCAGCTCCCAACCCCTGAAAAAGCTCAAGGTGCAGATGAGATTTGCCCTGTTAAGGTCTCTCGCCTTTCGTGGCTTGTATCAATTTATTCACTGTTGCATCGAGGTTGGGGATGGTCTCTGTGGACCAGGGTGGCAGTTACCACTTTCAGAAAGGGGGACCAGATGGTATGCTCCAGTTGTCAAGGCACTCCGCTGCTCAGCTTCTCAGGGAAAGCTTTTTTCCTGGTGAGCTGGAAAGGAGACGGACTTCAGATCCAGAAGGAACAATGCGGATGCTGCTGTCCTCGTAGAACGGGTTCTCATGGTCCTCTGTGTTTTCTGGAGAAAGCTTATGGCTGTATCTCTCAGGAAGTCTTGTGTAGGGCACTGGGGAGTTGTCGCTGTGTCTGTATTCTCTACAGGAAGTCAAACACATTCCCAGTTGGTGCCAGCCTCCGAAGGGGATGTCCCTTGTCAGCGTTTGTGATTCTGTTTGTGATTTTCAAGGACAGGACTTCAAGGCACAGCCGGGGGGAGGAGAGTTGTCTGGTTTGCGGATCTCAGAATGGCTTCTCTGCTTTTTGCAGATAGTGTGTGATCTGCTGGCTTCATCAGACACTGACCTTCAACACTTACTGTGGCAGTTTGCAGGCAAGTGTGAAGTGGCTGGGGCGGGAGTTAGCACCTCCAAGTCTCCGATTGCTCTCTGCTGGACAATGGTGGATTTCTCCCTCGGGGATGTGAGTTTCTTGAAGGAGTTTAAGCATCTTGGGGTCTTGGTCAGGAGTGGTGGTAAAATGGAGTGGAGACTTGAAGGCAGTTGGGTAATGCAGGTTTTGTATCGGACCACTGGGGTGAAAAGCAACCAGGTCAGACCAATGCTTTCAGTTCACCAGATCATCCATGTTCCAACCCTTGTGGATAGTGAGTAAAACAATGAGATTGTAAATACAAGTCTCTCTCTGGGCTCACCCTCAGAGATAGAGTAAGGAACCAAGCTCAGGGGGAGTTTAGAGTAGACCTGCTGTTCCTTAATATAGAAAGTAGTCAGCTGAGGTGGCATCTAATCAGTATGTTTGGACACCTTCCACTGGAAATTGTCGGGTCACATCCAAGAAGGGGGCCCAGAGGACAAACACACTGATAAGATTATATATCTCATCCGGCCTGGGAGCCCCCCAGAAGGAGCTGGAAAACATGGGGAGGGGGGATACGTCTAGACTGCCTTTGCTAAGTCTGCTGCGATTATGAGCCAACGGTGGATAAGGAGCTAATGGATGGAGGGAGGAGCCCTTTATTCCATTACACAGAAGCGTGGATTCAACAAGGTTCTGTAAATATTCCTCAGGGAGCTTTGGTCAGGAGGTTTGCTGATATCAACACATTCCACATCATCCCCAACGGTGCTCTGTATTGTCGAGATACGAGATACGAACAATGGGAAGAAAACTGACGCCATTGCCACGTTCCTGAAACAATCTTGATGCAACGTGTGCACGTGAAACGCTATCGTTGCTGCGTGCATCCATAAAGGCCACATCCTTAACCAGTCACCGGGCACAAATATGTAGATATGTCACAGCACAAGCCAGGGTTTTTTTTTTCAGATTGCACTTTATTTTTCTGCTCCTCAGTCATCCAGTTCTGGCGGTGCTACACACAGCCTCATTTTCCTTGTTCTTTGCTGACTGGAGTGGAAAGTGGCGTAGCTCTCTGCATCTGCAGCCCATCCAATTCAAGGTTAAATGATGTGTGCTTTCTGAAATGTCCTTCTGCATGCTGCCGTTGTACTGAGCTGTCATTTATTTGTGGCCTGTTAACTTGAACAAGTTTTGACATTTTCCTCTGACTTCTCTCATGAGCCTCTGAGGTGCTGATTTT